CAGTTTTTCTTTGTTCCACCCAGCTGATCATCCTGGTCTCCTGTGTCCTGTAGGTGTTTGCTCAGAAGTCTAACATTAGCTGAACTGGAAGTCACCTATGTTCTTTTCCTCTTTTGTCAATCTGATGTCAGGATCTCTCATGACAATTATATGATCAGTGATCTTGATGATTGGATTTGAATTTGTTTCATGTCATTTGACCATCTTTTACCTGACCATTTTCAGTTTTCTTCATGTCTCCAGAGTGTTGTACAGTAACTTTTCTAAATAAGCTTTTCTCTCCTTTTTTCTAAGCTTTGTTTTTCTGTCTTTATGTAAATATTATACAATTTATTTGTGAATTTCATATAATATTTTAATAATATTCATTCTGCTCCCAAAACTCATTCTAAATGCCACTTCCATCGTCCCAATTAAACCTCAATGTTCCTTTACCCTTTCTTGAACTTTTATGATTTGAAATTTGGTATTTGGATGGTTTCAATTTATTTTCATTGTACTTTCATTCAGGTTTTGTACTTCCATGTCAGATCATGCAATGCATGATCTAAGCTCACTCATCTCCTATATTATAGTCAAGTAAACTGTTGGAATGTTCTATTAACTTTTAATTTTTACATTTATTTGGGGAATGTGTGTGAGTGAGTGAGTGAGTGAGTGAGTGAGTGAGTGAGTGAGTGAGTGAGTATGTGTGTGTCTGTGTGTGTGTGTGTGTGTACTTTCACCATGCCACTAGTGTGGAGGTAGAAGAAAACCTGCTGAAATCAATTTTCTCTTTTCACCATGTGCATCCTGGCGATGGTTTTCAGAGAGTCAAGGTTGGCAGACAGAGCCTTTGCCCACTTAGACATTAAGCTGGCCCATATATTCTTCCAATTCAGTAGCTGATTTTTTATGTCTGTGGGGGTGGTTTACAAAAATTTTATGCTAATGTTGATTCATTTCAAAATTCAAAATATTTTCTACCCAGAGTTTCTTTTTTTATAGTTAGATTGCATCTCTTTTCTTTTATAAAAGATGATTTTCTTTGTTAATTTAATATATTGGAGAAAATTATACATAACTATTATATGTACATCATTTCTACCCCTTGGAATGTATCCTAAGAACTTGACGTCCTATGGCATAAATGCTTTTTCAGCCAAGTTCTTTGATGCTCTATTTTCAATAGCCAGGACAAGGAAACAACCTGAATGTCATTCAGCTGATGAATGGATAATGAAATTTTAACACATATACACTGTGGAATACTGTTCAAAGGTAAATAACAATGGAATTAGCACTGACACAGATAGAACTAGGAAATCTCATACTGACCAAGGTAACCCAGACCCAGAAACACAAATAGCATATTTTCTATTTTGTCACTGGATGATAGCTCTAAAGCTGAATCAGTGAGTTTTATTCTCCTAACAATTGACAAGTATTATTTTTTG